TATCAACCTGTGTTGAATGTATAGTTTCGTCCTATTTAAATATTTTAATGGATATCAACCTGTGTTGAATGTACAGTTTCGTCCTATTTAAATATTTTAATGGATATCAACCTGTGTTGAATGGTATAGTTTTGTAACGGAACTTTTACTTTATGCTGCTTGAAGACGTTTTTCTCGATGGTAATTTCTTCGTTTTCGTTCCTCTGGAACGATTTTTGTGGGAAACTGAGAGTTGTAGATGTAATGAAGGGATGCAGCATATAACGAACAATTTTAGTTTGGCAGATTTTTACATTTTTTCTCTCCACTTGTTGGATCGTATGTGACAAGAGGTGTAATGTTCCTTTAACAATACCTTGTCAAATTTTAAATTAAAGGAATTAATAACTTCTGAAATAAAAATTTAAGATTTTGTAGCCATTTAAAAAAAAACCGAAATATACGTCTTAAAGGTCAAATCAGGATTACTAACCAAAAATATTACAAAATATTTAAAACTGACAGTAAAACAATAATGAATTAACAGTCCAGCCAAATTTCACGGTACAGTTATACAGCTACAATGACTGTCCGTAGGTGATTACAGCTGTAATAACCATTTTTTCTTGAAACAATTTACAAAATACTTCAGTGTAACCCCAATCTTTTCGCAACCAAATTTACCTTCTTTCAATATGAAAGTCTCAGATACCAACACGTATGAGATGACAATGCTTTTCCTGATCCTAGTTACCTTTTAATTGAATTTTATTAACTTTTTCATACAAATTGTGGATATTTTTTTTCTCCAAATTCAGAAAATGACTTGTTCATTACATCATTCTTTTAACAGATAACCACCCTTTCAGTGACTTAACATCTTTTAAGTAATATATATAAGAATGAGTATTATTTCAAAAAAGATCACGTGTAAGTGATTTTCATGAAGATACAAAAAGTCAGGAATTACAACACTAATTCTTAACCTTTATTGTTTTCTCTTTAACACAACAATGTATTTATACAAGATGTCAAACATTACTAACAGTTCTAGTTTATCCCCTTTCATGCACACAGAACAAACACCTACATGCAAGATGACATCCCTTGTCGAGGATCACCTCAATTCAATCATTATTTAGCAGCCTTCGTCCTGGAAAGAACTGGAGATGTGTTTCATCAGAAAAGTCTTTATTGTATAATACTCTAAAGTGAAAGTATGAGACTGAACTTGTAAGCTGTTGAAAGGTTTGGACCTTTATCAGTTAAGTCAATAATTGAGAAAATTATTCATACTTCATGATCAACCCTGTACAATTTGATCTCCAGGCATATTTCTCTGAAATGTGAAATAATAACTAAAAAAATAACTCAGCATGCTTAAAATTAATATTAAATTGAGCATTTCACGAGAATTAATTAATTTTCTTCAGGCTACTAAATAAAAACTAAACATCTTGAATGACGTATCTCATTTAATACTGATATATTGTGAAAATAGTGTAAAATGACGAGACCATCCTGGAAGACTCCTTCACAATAACCAGTGAATGGAAAAATATTTCCATTCATTCCAAAGCATTATTATAACTAACCTTTTCGATGGAGACAGTGCTTAATCTTTAGAAATGAGTTTTATCTACAATCTAATATCTACATAAAAAGTTGATTTTTCTTCTATATTTTGTAACATTATATTGGTATAAATAACGGCTTGCTGAATTTACTGATCCCTATTTCCCTGATCTTGTGAACTCAAGATAACCTGCAACAGTGATTTCAAACTGAAAAATATGCCATTAATACATAGCCCCACACAGACTACTGACAAAACGTTTTGGCTCATGTCTTTTCAGAACACTGAGCAGTCATTTCCAGTATTATAAGCTTTCTAATTAACTAATATTAAGAATCATGAGTGGTTACTACGTTTAACAGGCATCACATACGTCAAATGAGGGGAACATATATATATATATATATTTATATATATATATACATCGACACGCATACGTCTCGTGAACACCGACGACATTGCAATACGATGGTGAACGTGTACAATAAATTGGGATGAAGGCACAGTCCACCAAGGACTCTTAAACCACAGCCACTTGAAACCAGTCTCTGTGTGCACCACGGTTCAACAGTACAGTTTCAGGAACTTCTTCTGCATCTTGCCCAACTGCAGACATTGGATAGAAGTACTGTCACGGACCAGAGAAGAGAAGCTTTTAGGTTTTCTTTGCTCAAAATTAAAGGACAACACACAATTCAAATCACTTACAAGCTTTCTAAGTCACCTGGATTAGTGTGTGACATCACGATGAAATTGATAATAGATTTATAAAAATCGCCCTAAACTATAGATTTCCAGTAAGAATAACCATAATGGCATTATTATCACACACACAGTGCACTGCATGTCATGCTGATGAGGCTTTTTGTTCAATGCCGAAGCTCGTAGGGTCAGCTGGAAATACAACATAGCCTTCACATTGCTCATTTACGATACATCAACCAGTATGGTTTATAACTTCTTATGCTAGAGAAGCGGGATCTTTAGTTTCTGTGACATTTTGTCACTACAAGAATTTTCTATAAATCTCTCTTCACTAGCCCTATAGTATCAGTGATTTAATGTCACACAAACCATTCATCAAAAGATCAGGTTTCTCTAGCATAGAGCGTTATATACCATAATAGTTGATATATTTCAAGAATTTCTTCAACATCTCTCGGGACCCGTGTATCTACAATAGTTTTTCTTATGCCTTCAAAAAGTTTTATATGATAAGGGAATCTGAAAATAGTTATACAGGTTCATCAGTAACACAAATAATAGTTCCATTTTTTTATGACGAACAAAGTTTTAGTGTTTCATATGTCTGCGCTAAAGCAATTGCAAATTAAAAAAAGCATATTTTATTTGGTGTTTTTTCACAATTTTACTGCACAGGTAACTGAAACATGAAATTTACGATATACAAAATTAACAATGACAGACATCTTACCAGTACTATCCTAGATCATCAACTGTTTCAGGAGGAACCCTTAATTTTATCATCATAAATCATTAAATATGAAGGAAACCCCAATTTTACTATCTTAAATCACCAAATGGGGTTAGAAGACAAACCGAAGAAAAAAAACCCTGGTTTAAAAAATACTATTAATGATCTATTTTACTAATGGTACTAATTAAAGCTAGTCATTCAAACACACTTTGTTAAATTTCCAAGACAGTGGAGAAAATACGACGACATTATTTATAGAAAGCAACTGTCCAAAAATTTCTAAACTAAATGATATTTAATTCTCCATTACATCAAATAAAGTTTAAATAATAAGTTTTCTATCTTGTACTTAATCATGAATATAATTCAACTAAGACTTTTTGTATAATTTAATTCAACGTCTATAATTTAGACATCTACTTCTAATGATATGTCTCACCCTAAGTCCGTTTTATTTATCACCATTTAAATTGAAAATTTTAGAAAGTTTAACTTCACTACAAGAAAAATATGGATTGTTCATTTCAATTACAGTTAGCGAGTGTTTTTTTTTAAATAAAAATGTTATTCCTTATCTAAATCTTTAAAACATAAAATAAATTCTGATCAACCCTAAAACTAAAAAAACATTTCCATCAAAGTAATAGTTCACAAACATTATTTCTGTGTTAATAAAATTGTTGTCTTTTTCATGAGACATTCCTAACGAGTAATATTAAACGATATTACGTGTAGCAAGTCGGCTTAAGTTTATTTTGAGGAGCAAAAAAAGTGAGATTACCTTAAACACTGGACACCATGATCACTCACATCTTTTCTTGAAAGATATAAAGGTTATTGGTTGCTGCTACGACGATTATGTTTTCTCTTGGATGCCACGCTGTGTGTAAAATTTTTCGATTAAAATCTAAACAGTCTACACCTATTTCATCTTTCTTTCTTTTTCCCACCTGTGCCAACCTGGGGAAGAAGCAGAGATAATTGTAATTTATAGTAAAGTATACTAGTTGAAGACAGACGTTCTAATAGTGCTTGTTGTTACTAAAGTATACTAGTTGAAGACAGACGTTCTAATAGTGCTTGTTGTTACTAAAGTATACTAGTTGAAGACAGACGTTCTAATAGTGCTTGTTGCTACTAAAGTATACTAGTTGGAGACA